CCAACGCAAACCTCGACGAGTACCGCGTAGAAACCCACAATGGCGAGATCCCAGCCGGAGGCGTAGCAGCGGACGGCTCAGCAGCGCCCGCAGGCCGAGGAGACTACAAGCTCGTCACCTTCGTCCCCAACGACCCCCAGAACCCAAAGAACTGGAGCAAAGCATACAAGTGGTATTGCACAATGGTCGTCGCCCTAACCTGCTTCGTCGTCGCCTTCTGCTCCTCGGTAATTACGGCCGACATCGAGGGCGTCGCAGCAGAGTTCCACGTCTCAGAGGAAGCCGCCCTCGTCTCCATCACCGTCTTCGTCATCGGCTTCGGCATCGGTCCCATGGCCTTCGCGCCCCTTTCCGAGATCTACGGCCGCCAGGTGATTTACGCATCCACCCTCCTCCTCGCCGTCATCTTCATCATCCCCTGCGCCGTCGCCAAGAACCTCGCCACGTTGCTTGTCTGCCGCGCCATCGACGGCATCGCCTTCTCCGCGCCCATGACCCTCGTGGGCGGCACCCTCGCAGACCTCTGGCGCAACGAGGAGCGCGGCGTCCCGATGGCAGCCTTCTCTGCTGCGCCCTTCATCGGTCCCGCGATCGGTCCTCTTGTAGGCGGCTTCCTCTCCGACGCGGCAGGCTGGCGCTGGCTGTACTGGATCCAGCTCATCATGGCCTTCGTCGTCTGGGTCCTCATCTCCTTCACCGTCCCCGAGACCTACGCGCCCACGATCCTCGCCCGCCGCGCCGCGAAGATGCGCAAGGAGACCGGCGACGCGACCCACGTCACGGAGCAGGACATCGACATGCGTCCCTTCAGCGAGCGCTTGGGGATCTTCCTCATCCGGCCCTTCCAGCTCCTCTTTGGCGAGCTCATCGTCTTCCTCATCTCCATCTACATGTCCGTCCTCTACGGCCTGCTCTACATGTTCTTCGTCGCCTTCCCCATCATCTACCAGAAGCGCAAGGGCTACTCCGCCTCCTCGACGGGTCTCATGTTTATCCCCCTCGCCGTCGGCGTTCTCTTGTCGGCCGCCTGTTCCCCTTGGGTGAACAAGCACTACCTCACCCTCGTCGCGAAGCACAACGGCCACCCGCCTGCCGAGGCCCGTCTCATCCCCATGATGCTCAGCTGCTGGTTCATCCCCATCGGCCTCTTCATCTTCGCCTGGACCTCCTACGCAGATCTCCACTGGGCCGGCCCCGCGTTCGGCGGCTTCCCCGTCGGCTTCGGCTTCATCTTCCTGTACAACTCGGCAAATAACTACCTCGTCGACTCCTACCAGCACCAAGCCGCCTCCGCCCTCGCCGCAAAGACCTGCATCCGCTCTTTCTGGGGCGCCGCCGTCGTCCTCTTCACCGAGCAAATGTACGACCGCCTCGGCGACCAGTGGGCCTCGTCCCTCCTCGCCTTCCTCGGTCTCGCGTGCTGTGCGATTCCCTTCCTCTTCTGGGTCTACGGAGCCCGTATCCGTGCCAGGAGCAAGTACGCCTACTCTGGTGATGACGAGGAGACGTCGGGATCCGATGAGGAAAAGGCCAAGCCGCCAAAGAACGCGTTGGCTCCTACCCGCACCTTTGAGCCCGCGTAAGCGATTTGGATATTCGATATGTATACATCTCGATACATAGCAAAACACCCAGAGAGCTGCTGTATCTCAGCGACTCGTTCCTGGCGCCTTGGCTACCGGCCCTGGATTCGATGGTAATCTTTGTTTATTCGGCGTAAAGAGGAAGCTGGCGTTGGATAGTGGAATCCAGGAGCGAAAGGCATTTAGACTATAGACGCATGTAAAGCCCAACGGCCGGCGCCGTTCATAATCCTAAATAAAATTGAAATCAAAACAGTCGGGTTCAAGTGCATGCACATGTGGGTAATGCAACCATTTGGAAATATCAATCCTTTCTTCATCAGACTTTTCATCTGCATGAGAGGAGCGATGCGACAGTGGATGTAGGGAAATGTCTATTCGTAAGTCGTAATCTGTAGCCATCTATTTGCTCAAGAGTTGAAGAGAAGGGTATTCACCAATCTACAGGTCTTTGTTTCATACCCACCAGCCGCCAACAGGGTTCTCCTAACCTCAGACAATACGCACCGGGAGAGACTCTCTGCGAGACATTAAAAACTCTTCCTTGACCAAAGAGTTGTCGCACTTGCGTCCCAGCATAAAGTCTTCGAGGTTGCGGAATGTGCACTCGGAGATCTCCTGCAGCGCTTCTTCGGTGAAGAAACCTTGGTGGCCACAGATGAGGACGTTGGGGAAGGTCATCAAACGGGTCAGCAAGTCGTCGTCGATAATATGACCAGAGTGGTCATTGTAGAAGAGATCCCCCTCGCCTTCGTATACGTCCAGGGCCAGACCGCCAAGATGCTTAGTCTTGAGGGCGTGAACGACAGATTTGGTATCGACGAGACCGCCACGAGATGTGTTGATGAGCATAGCGCCAGGCTTCATCTGCTTCAGCGTCTTTTCGTTGATGATATGCTTCGTCTTTTCCATCAGAGGGCAGTGCAAACTGATGAAGTCGCACTTGGGAAGGAGCTCCTCCAGAGGCAGGTACTCGCCGAGCTCCTTGAAGGCGTCTGACTCGTAGGGATCAAAGGCGTACAGTGTGCAGCCGAAGCCCTTCATGATGCGGGCCATGGAAACGCCAATCCTGCCGGTGCCAATGATGCCCACCGTCTTGCCATGTACAGTCTTGCCGAGAAGGCCATCGAGGTTAAAGTTGCCCTCGCGGGTTCGGTTGTAGGCTCGGTGGGTGCGTCGGTTGAGGGATTGAAGCAGGGCGACGGCGAACTCGGCTACAGCCTCGGGGGAGTAGGAAGGGACATTGGCAACGAAGATGCCCAACTTTTCGGCAGTCTTAAGGTCGACGTTGTTGAAGCCTGCGCAGCGAAGGAGGATGGCTCTGCAGCCGGCCTTGTGGAGCTCCTCGACGACGTCGGCGGTGAGGGAGTCGTTTACAAAGACGCAAACGGCATCGACATCTTTGACGAGCGAGACGGTCTCGGTGGAGAGAGAGAAGTCGTGGTAGATGATGCCAAAGTCAGTGTTGTCGTCGACGAGCTTCTCGTTATGCTTCTTGAACTCTTCCTTCCTGACGTCGTGGGCGGCATTGATGTATTTCTTGTCATAGGCTTTGGCGCTGAAGACGGCGAGCTTCATTGTGGCGGTCGGACGCAATTGAGGGCTAGAGCCTGATGTCGTGGAGAGACAGTAGCTGGCTGAGTAGGTATTTGGGGAGAGTCTTCTGTGGAGGTGTCTAAGAAGAGGGTGCAGAGCAGGATGGAAAAGTTAATCGGAATTGGTGGTACGAATTGAGGGGATTTTGTATGAAGATTAGGGAGAGCAGAGACAGAGGAGAAGAAGGAGGAGGGTCGGGAACGAAGCCAAGCAAAGGCGCGCGTCAGCTCCTTCCTTCTCCTTCTTGGCTGCCCGCAGACGGGCCATGCCTCCTTCCTCCTTCCTCATTTCTCCCTCCTACCTTCTCTTTCCTTAGCTATCTTAAGGTACCTATTCAAAGGTACATCTTGCCTCGTGCCGCATTGGGAGCAGCAAGTGCAGTGCCCGTGTTCTTTCCTCCTCCATGTCAGTGTCAATGGCAAAATCTGCGTCAGCATCTTTCTGTGGTTGCCCAATCCGGCGCTCAAAATCAGTTTCCAGCTGAACTCTGCCAGATGACGTGGATGAACCCCCAACTGCAGCTGCTACTCTTTTTTTAAGCTTGACTGCGTGGTGAATATAATTCGCTTGCGCCCAGAGCTACCCCGCCATCCATGAATGCTTTTCTGCCAGGTCGGGAGCTCTGGGCATCTCGCTAACCGAAAGCAGAATTACAACCCCGCTGGGTCCGGTCCTGTCAGAGGAACTGTCAGGCGCCCTGCCCTGGATCTTCAGGGGAGCCCCAGTAATTCTTCAGTCGCATTTGAGCGTTTTCATCGACATCACAAGCTTCACGGTCGAGGACTCGAGACAATATGAATTTGAGAATACTCAGATTCATCTTCACTCATGCATGTTGGAAAACCAACCATAAAAACAATCCGTCTCTTCACCTTGAATGTTTTTCCGAGCTGGGTCTTCAACTGCATGAACGCACCCTCTCAGGTCCACAGACACGCTCGAGGTACTGAATGAGTCAGCAAATGAGTGTAGATCCGAGAGTCGCACAAAGCTACCACCACAACAACGTTTTTGAACAAGAAACTCACGAAAATGGCGAGAAGAATGTCTTGAATAATAATATGGGCACGTGATGGGTGTTTTGTACGAATTATCTCAATCAAAAAGCAAAAGAATGATCAGTGGGAGGCTTGAACTCCCGGCCTTGGCATTACACAACATTTCAGGTGAAATATTAGTACCACGCTCTAACCAACTGAGCTAACCGACCAGTTGTTAACGTTTCCGCAGAGCTGGCTCATTCTTCAAGCTTCAGCTCGCTTGGTTCCTCGATTTCTCCTCCCTCGATTTTGCCGTGCATCCTGTCGCTTTTTGTGTTCTCCAGACTCTCTCTAATGAAGACAGCTTTGGATGGGTAGGAGCACTCTGGTATATGAATCAGGAGATGTTGCTCTTTCAGGCACTTTGATGTCGTTGGCAACTGCTTCTCTGCCTTCCTGCAACCCACACAGCTAGCACTCACCTGCCGTTATCTCTTCACCTTCTCACTGCTACTGACAAGATGGAAACTGCAGAAACTTTTAGTCACCTGCTGGCAAGAGGTGTGCATAGAGCTTGTATCCTACTTATGAATTTGCAGAATCGCGAGTCCCCGTTCTCGTGAGAACTCATTTCTTGACCACAACATCGTCTTCAATCATCAAGCCCCGACCAGCATCAACACCACCCACGTCACCACTTGCATCACCAGCAGTTCCAGGGACTTCTATCATTGTCCGAATTACGCCCTGAACCTTTATCCCGGTCTCCACTCTATCACTCTCTTTAGGTATCCTTTCTTCGACAACATTTCAGACCTCAGATCCGTCGCTTGACTCTGCCATGACGAACCAGCCCGGCCAGCGTCCAGTCTTGTACAGCCATGGCCATGGCTACCACGCCGTGCAACAGCTGCCAGCTTCTCAAAGGCTCCCAATCGAGATATTGCTTGATATCTACTCGCTGTTGGATCCATGCGACTTCAATTCCTCGCGGCACACCTGCCGCTCCTGGATGGTAGCCGGCACGAATGAGACTATTCTTGGCCGCATGTTGTCGAGGGGCGGGTGGACCTCGAGCATCAATAGCATACTTGGCCATCAAGCTTCCAGCAACACGGACAAGCCGGTGCCAAGTCGAGCGTCTGTCATGTCCAAATGGCTCACGAGAGAATGCACTCTCGGCCCGCGTCACAACGGGAGCAAGCCCGCTTTCGTCGAAATCGGCCAGACGCACTTCATCGGCGGTTCTCCGATATCTACCAGCGACGAACGAAACATTGTCTACACCGCAAGTATGTGCGGTCGATACTTGATGGTCACCCACGGATGCACCATCCTGGTCTATGAGTTGCATCACCAGTGCGAAGAGAGCTTCTCGCGTCCATGGCCAATATCTTCTTAGAAGGAGCACTCGAATTATCGCAAGAGTCGCAAGGGCCAACTTCGACTTATCACTGCCATTACCTGCGGATCTCCTGTACTTGCCTGCGCCATGGACACGACATGGGCACGCAACCATGTTGCTGTGCTCGTCCAAGGCCGTCTCGGCCTTGTCTTCGAAATTCAAGGGCTACCCGTATTGCCCATCAAGTACTCAACCCAAAACAAACTGTGTAACTGTGACACACAGCAAGTATCGCACTCCCTGCCTTTGCAGGCAAAGCTACAATCCACCCACTACAACGTGGGCACGGCCGACTGTCCTCCTCGCTCCGTCGCCATTTGCCCTCATCGTTCTTACGTCGCCTTTGGCAGCTCTTCGGCTATCGAGATACATAACAATGATAGAAGTGCAAAGCAAAATGCCCGCCGCTTTGCTTTGTCCACACCCAGCGACTACATCTATTTCCTTCCTCCGGGTGACGCAAACGACCCAAGACGCAAACTTCGCCTGATCAGCGCCGCGTCAATCTCAGACTGCCACGCCGGCTCGCTGCAAGACGTATTGGGTGGTCTTGGCTTCAATGAAATCGACTTTACCCCCCAGGTCCCGGTTATCATCTCACGACTTGAGACGTCTGAACTAGAGGAAGACGCTTCGAACGTCTATACCATCATGGAGCAGCAGTTGTCCGCCTCCCTCGGTCCCTTTGCCAATCAAAGAAGCCAGTGGACAAGAACGGGAAGAGTCCTCCCAAGGCCTAGATTATCCACTGCCGACAACTATCGAGCCGTGCCCTTGAGCGATGGGTCTCACATCCTTTTTACAGACCCCAAGACTAGGTACCTGAGCCTGGTTTGTGATGATCCCAAATGGTCGAGGGCTGGCATTGTGACCAAGGTGAAGTTTTGTCCACCAGCGGCAGCATGCGAAAGTGCGCCGCTCATGTATGCCGTTGGGAGGGACTTGGTACATGGTGTGAGAATTGCTGCCGTTTTCTCAACAACACGGTGGACGGAAGGAGAAGGGTTCCAACCAGGGGAGCAAATTCTCGCTTTCTATACCATCCCACCAGATATGTTCCGAGATCTCTCAAGCACTAACAGCCTCCTGAGTTTGGTCGACAGCCAAGGGGAACATCAATGGGCTCATTGGTGGCCGACATTGCAGCATACAGTTCAACAATTCCTCAAAGCCAAGAACGGCGGATTGAACAGCAAGGACAACCGGAACCCAAGGCCAAAGTTTCCAATTGATGTCTACGGCCAAGTCGTTGCCGTTTGCTCCGGCATCGTCGACCTTTCGATGGGATTAGGCCCTGATATGATGATCTGGGCATTTGGAAGGGAGGGCTTGGCTCGTTGCTGGGCATTGAACACCGGAAACACCAAGCTCGTGCGAAGGCATGCAATCTTGGGTGACGGAAGCATGCGAAAGGTGGACGGCGATGGGGATTTGACGATGTTGTAGGCGGGCTAGGATTGGTCACTGACGATGAACTATTAGGCGGCACGGGAGAAACGCTGACATCCTGGTGAGCGATACTGATGCATTTCCAGTGGCGAGTATGGAAAATGTTATCTTTGGAGTTGTGCAATAGCGAGACTGCACACTGGGCTATGCTGGTTCCAGCAATGCTGGCCTGTAGCGAATGATGCACGATTGCAGGAAATAGAAAAGCATTACCTATAGAAATGATTAGATTCTCAAAGCCTGAGATGTAAGATTTCGCTTCATCCGTCTTCTAGTCATTGATCTTTCTAGCGTCTATAGATGCCATGTATCGTGTAATCCTTCTGTGGCCCGTTGACAGTGTACTTGATATTCCACTCCTCGAGGTTGACAGCCTTGAAGGCGAAGTCGTACTTTACGTCATAATAATCATCAATGCAAAGGTGCCCAGCCTTTGCCTGCCAGGGCTTCTTCTGGTCATCTTGTGGCGGTCCTTCGAACTCGATCTCGTGGAAGAGGTAATCTGCCCGCTTCGGCTCGTTGACTTTTGCGAACCAGACGCTGATTGTGTCTTTCTTTTCGTCGTAGCGCCAGACGTAGCGGCGGGTCGCGCGGAAGACGAGGCCGTTTGAGGCGCGGAATTCGCCGTCTTCGATGTAGAGGTATTCTGTCGCCAGGGCGCCGTCGTCGTTGGCGTCTGGGGTTTCATCAGCGGAGGCGGGTCCGGAGGCGCATTTCAGGCCGTCGGCGGTCTTGTTGCGGAGGAGGAATTGTGCCGTCCCGCTGAAGTGGCCGCTTGGGTGGCTCGGTAGTCTGCTCGTGAGATCGCGTTCTAGCTTCCATGTTCCCAGTAAGCTGCGGAAGACGGCGCGGGGCACGAAGCGGGATGTGGTTAGGCCTGCGATTGCTGTGTCGTTTGTTTGTGCTAGAGACTTCTCGGCTTCGGACTTTGCGACTTCGGAGGCGAGTGGGGAGAGGTAGCGTGCTGGGGTGAGTATGTCCATTGGTTTGTTGTTGTGAGGGAGGGCCGGGGTTAGGGGAGCGGCGGGCGGGGAGATGGGGATGGAGAGGGCGAGGGAGAATTGTTGCATTAGGTAGGCGTAGTCGCCCATTGGGAACTGGGAGGCGCGGGGGTCGTCGCGGAGGGAGACGGTGCGCCAGTCTGAGGCGTCGTCTAGGAGGGCTTCGGTGAGGGCCGGCGGGCGTGTGGAAGGGGATGACGTCCAGAGGGCGGAGAGGAAGCGGGCTTGCATTTCCATTACGCCCCAGTAGGGGGACCGGTAGAAGCCTACGAAGCCGAGGGTCGGGAGGTCTTTGACGTGGGTTCCGTGGAAGGCGAGGGCGAGGGGGAGAGAGGGGTGGGAGGAAGAGTGGTTTAGGGTTGTGAGGACGGAGGAGGGGAGGAAGGAGAGGCAGGGGGAGGGGTTGAAGCCCGTTGCGAGGATGACGGCTGCGACGTTCTCGATTTCCGGAGTGGCGGCGGAGGAGGAGGAAGAAGGGTTCGTGATTTTTGCGGTTGTGCCGGTGACGGAGTCGAGTTTGCCAGGTGTGATGTTGATGAGGCCGGCGCGGACGAATTCCATGTAGTTCTCCGAGACGGCGAGGTAGGCCGGGTCCGAGTGGTGTTTGGACGTCACGGCGACGGAGGGGGAGAAGTCGTATTGGTCTTGGCCTAGGGAGGTTGTGTAGATGCCGTGGGTTAGGCGTGCGGCGTCTGGGGTGATGTGGCCTTGGCTGTTCTCGAGGGGATGTGGGCGGTTGCTGAGGTTGTAGGATGGGAAGTCTAGGGGTAGGAAGGGGGCTGCTTTCGCGCCGGGCTTGAGCTTTGTGTCAGCAAGTCGAGTCTCTCCATGTCTGGAAGATGGGGCATACCTTTGGCGTGGTGTGGAGTGGAAACACCCACGTCGGACGCTGGGTGAGATGCTCGACTGTGAGCTTCTCCGCGTTCGGCACGGGGTTCGGGTCCGGTGCGTTGACGGCGCAGGAAATGTGCGTGGCGATGGTCCCCGCGATCTCGACGCCAGACATCTGCCCTCCCACGACTAGAATCTTGCCGCCGTTCTTGACGCCGTCCGGGAACAGGGTCTGTAGATCCCGGTACTTGCTGCTGTGCACCACGGGGATATCCGTACCGGCACCGCCAGAGACGACGTCTGGCACAATGGGCTTGCCAAAGAAGCCGGAAGACACAAGCAGGTAATCAAACACGCTCGTCTCCCTTCCGCCAGCCTCGCTCTCGACGGTGACGGTCCATGAGCCGTCTTTGGAAGAGAGCTTCGTTTCGACGACACGGTGGCCGAGCTTCAAGGTTGCTGCAGCGGCAGCATCAGTGCCCTTGAGGTAGCGCTCGATGTAGCGTTCCAGGTACCGGCCAACCATCCAGGCGCGCGGGAAGTCCGGGTCCTCAGGGGCCCAGGCGAGGTCGCTGAACTGCACGGTGTGCTTGCTCTGGTTGGCGAGCATGAGAGGGTGGACGAGGCCGTCGACATCGTCGCGGCGCGTGGGCCATAAGCCGCCGATGCGCCGTTGGGCGTCAAAGATTGTCACGTCAAAGGCGCCCTTCGGTGCGTTGTGGAGGAGAGTCTTTGCGGCGACGAGGCCGGAGGGGCCGGCGCCTTGACACTATGATGTTAGCAAAGACTCAGGCGTGGGAGAGAAGGTGGTCCTTACCGACGATGCATACACGTTTGGCCATGGTCATGGGTCTCAACGCAGGGGATGGTGGGGTGTTTGAGAGTGTGTGAGTGAATTGCCCCTCACTGACAGAATCAAACCCCTGTTGGGTGGGTTAGGAAGTCGAACTCGGGATGAATTGGGGGAAGGGTATCGTATATAGCCTCCCTTGAAGACGGGAACATGTGACGGTGAGCACTGCAACCTCTCATCGCCTGAGAGATGAAGTTCTCACGTCAGAAGCCACCGCCGAAAGCGCCATCGTCGCAGTCGGGGATTAGCGGCAATGGTGGGGCTTGTCGCCGATCGACGCCGGCGCTATCTGCGATGACTCAGCTGGGTTGGTCTTGTTTAGCGCCAGCCGGCATGACGTTTTGCCGGCTGGCAACTCCCGTCCACTCCACTGGCCTCTGTCATCACCATCTCCCAACCCTCTTTCTCCATGCTCCATCATCGCATCCACTGCAGCTCGCGGTCTAAGCATCGCCTTTTTCGCACGCCAATATGTCATCATAAAATTTCATTGTCTCATTAGTTACACAATGCTGCGACACGTCCGCCATCTATGCAATGCAGTTGATGCACGAAACGTCCGCAGTTGACAAGCAATACCGTGTGGGCATGCATCGTCAGCTCCAGCACCGCCAGAATGCCAGCCATGCTGGAAGCCTTCGTGTCTTGTTCCGGGCAGGTTGAGTTCGACCAATGTCAATTGTCGAACAAGTCCAGGACGCCGAGCCTGGAAGTCCAGCTATCCGCAAGCTCCCGAAGTCTGAAGAGAACCATTCAGTCAATGGACTCTGAGGCAAGCTCCCGCCCCGAAAGCTTGGAACATGAAAGCAGGGACTATTCGAGACGGCTGATGGTCGGAGCGGCCCAACGACGGCCAGTCGGCTTGCGACAGGGAATTATCGACGGCTTTCTGCCATGTCCCGAGCTACGGGCCCTCCTTACCGCCAGCCTGGCCCCGGGCGCGGATTGCCAAGCCAGGGCGTCGGGACCCGTTACGGCCGGTTCGGGACCAGACGCCGCACCGACATGGATATCTCTTCGGCTTCGTGCAGTCAGTGGGCCTACCTACGTTTATTCAGAACTTCGGATGGCACCAAATACCTAGCCTCTGTCCACTCATCTTCGGATGAATATTCAGCACCGACTGATCATCGATCCGCCCAATGACCCATCATGATTACTGGCATTCTCTGCCAGGGACCATGGTGCTGCAGCATGCCAAGCCGGGACAAGACCTACCATCCCGGGGATGTTCAACGGCGCAAATGCGGCCAGCATCTTTGGGCCCATCTGTTGACGAACCCCCAAGTAACGTCGTTCTTCGAACCGGCGATATGCTTGAATCATGCCCGTGGTCGCACGTCAGTTCATTGTAGTCATGGACCTGCCTATTCTGATTATCAAAGACTTATCTGTGGGGCGGCCATCTGCATTACATCTAAGTCGCACAGAAAGACCAGCTCAACCGAGCAGGCTGCATTATTGGCCATCCAACCTCGCCATACGGTGTTTCTTGTGCCACTCGGCGGTGTTCGTGCGACTACTGCACAGATCTTGAGCAACGGCGTCACCCTTGTCCTCACGTGGGTGTATTTCAAATACGTGCACAACGACCCAGCCCGTTCCCCGTCCCACTAAGACTAGCAGGAAGGGCAGAGTGGCTGGCATCATCTTGGGGAACCGTCAACCGGTTGCTATTGACCGAGCTTACTGCAGATCCAGCGCTACTTCTTTTCCGTTCGAAGTGTCGGCCGTCAAATCAAGCTTGCCCGGCATCAGCCCGCCCCAATGCTAGAGCGCCTAGGACGCAGATCAATGCTTGTTGTGGTCGAGTGACTGAGCTTGCAACCGCGGGGTCACGCCGGAGATAAGCTAGTCTTTGCTTGCCCACGCGGACCGATGACCGTTAGATTCCCCCTCTCTTCTTAGTCTCGACGGGTAGAACCCCCCTCCCCAGACTCTCCCCACGGGCAAATGGAGTCTCGGATGGAGCCCCCGGCTCATACAATGTTGTCAACTAGCTCCACTGGCAAGCTCTCACCTTGTCGGGAAAAGCATTCGATGCGGATGAGATGCGCCCTCTCTCCCATCTACCTGTGACTTCCTCAAGCATGGAGACAGAATATGCTGTGAACCCAACGATTCTAGACTACCTCGCAAGCCACCATGGGTCTCGGGATTCCGGTCCATGGTGAATACCTGTTCGTGGTCATGGACTGGAGTTCGCAAGGCTAAGACACGTCAGAGAAATCAACCGATGCGCGCGTGTCTCCGATGTCTTCCCCTTGGCTTCCCTCGCATCCTTCGAGAAGCAGATACTGCTGCTGAGGTTT